TTTTTTTCTCTGAATGCCTTCAGGGCAGGTTTGGCTGGCTTGAGTTGTGGAGATCGAACCACAGCAACCTGAGCCTGACTGCTTTGTTAAAGCAGCCACTTAAAGAGCTGAGGTAATGGGCAGGCCCCCTACACCACAGGATGGGAAGACAGCATGGGAATTTTTGGGGACATGGCAACTGGCTTGCAAAGAGGAATCCAGGATAAATCCACTCAAACAAGGAGAAACACTTTGCATAAAAACTCCTAATTTATGACTGATTCTGTTATATAACTATAGACTTTGCTTCTATGGTCTAAAGTAAAAAAAAAAGTATAGTTACCACAGTTTATCAATTTCTAAATTATGCTCAATGCTAATTATACTACTGTGGCTATGATGTCACATACATTGTAATTAATTGTTTTCCCTTGTGTAACAATATTGGGAAACTCTAAGCCAACATCATACTAAATGGACAAAAACTGAACGCTTTCACTCTAAAATCAGAAATAAGACAAAGATGTTCACTATCACTACTCCTATTTGGTATAGTTCTGGAAACAGCCAGAGTAATTGGAAAAGAGAAATAAAAGGAAAATGGATGGGAAAGAAAGAAATGAAATTTTCATTTCTTGCAAATGACATGATGCTCTACATAGAAGACCCCAAAAACTCCAACAAGAGATTTGCAGATTTAATAACCAAATTCAGTGGTGTATTGGGATACAAAGTAGTAGTGAAAATCAATAGTATTCCTGTACACAAAGAAGAAACTCACTGAGTGAGAATTTAGAGAAACCATACCCTTAACAATAGTACTCAGGAAGCAATTTAACAAAGGAAGTAAAATACCTATATATTGAAAATTACAGTACTCTGAAAAAAAGCAATTGCAAAGGATATCAGAAAATGCAAAGACATTCCTTGATCATGGGTAGGAAGAACCAACACTGTCAAAATGATCATATTTCCAAAATTGTCATAGAGACTTAATGCAATCTCCATCAAAATATCACTAACATATCTCAGAGATCTAGAGAGAACATTTCTAAAATTCATCCAGAACCAGAAGATACTTAGAATAGTAAAGGCAATTCTGGGCAACAAAGGCAACTCAGGAGGCACCACAAAGCCTGACTTGAAATTACACTACAAAGCTACCAAGGTAAAATGAGCAATAATAATGTAAAAACAACAACAATAACAACAAAACCACCCAGACCTGGTGGTCAATAGAACATATTAGAAGATGCACACAACTACAAGCACAAGTACCTACTTCATCTTTGACAAAGGGGCTAAACATGTTCACTGGAAGAAAGATACCTCTAACAAATGTTGCTGGGCAAAACTGGCTTTCTACATGCTGAAGACTAAAACTAGACATATGTCTATCAATATGCACTAATCTAAAGCCAAAATGGACCAAAGATCTAAACATAAAACAAAAGCTCTAAATGTACAAAAAGAAAGAGTAGGGAGAAATCCTGAGGACATTGGATAGGCAGAGAGTTCTTGAACACGAACCAAGCTGGAAAAAAAAAAAGCTGCACAGATCAACAACTAGGATTACATCTTATTAAAAAGTTTTTTCACATCAAAAGAAATCAACAGAGTGGACATAAAACCCACAAACCAAGAAAAAATTTAGCAAACTGTCCCTCAGGTGAAAAACTTTTATCTAGAACATATAAAGAATTAAAGAACATCAGACCCTCAAATTCAAAGACCGAATCCAAAAATGCACATCTAAGATGAACATACACTTCTCAGATGAAGAACTGTAACTGGGAAATAAATCTATGACAATTGTTCAACATCATTGATTATCTGAGAAATGCAAATTATAGATGTATAGTTACATTCTCTTAATGAATAGAAGGATTTGTAATAGTGTTTGTAAATAGGATATCATGTCTGCATCTTGTACAGCAAATAACCACTAAGAAGAGAGTATGCAATGTGTTAATTATTGAAACTGTCCTACCAATTTGATTTGAAACTGTGTCATTGCTATTTGTCTCTCAATAAAATTATGGAAAAAAACAATATGGAGGTTTCATTTCACCCATAAATAATGGATACCTTAAAAAAATCAACCAGTAAAAAAATGCTGGAGGAGTTAGGGGGAAAAAGGAATGCTTGTCTGTTATGTGGAGTGTAGACTGGTACAATTACCGTGGAAATGAGTGTGGAGATTCCTCAAAATACTGGGATTAGACCTCTCATTCAGTCCCCCTATTCCCCATTTCAGTATCTTCAGAGAACTAAAATCATTTACCACAGCAACACATGTTAACCCATCTTTATAGCACTGTAATTTGTAATAACCAAATATTGGAAACAACCCAATGTCCATCACTGAGAACAGATAAAAAAGATGCAATTTTTTTTTAAATATAATGGAGCATTATTCAGCTATAATGAAAGATAAACTTCAGGATTTTATATTAAATAGGTACAAGTATAGACCATACTTGTAAGTGAAATAAATAAGACTTGAGTGTGTAAACATTATATTGTTTCTACTATAAGAAGTTGAAAGAATAAGTAAGATACAAAGGACAATAGATATTGTGAAAAGAGAAGAAACCACTGAAAGGAGGAACAACTGGGGTGAGGGAAAGGACAAAAGAAAGAAAGGAAAATAGATACACACAAGATAGCTAAGACAATTATACCACTACTTTCTGTCAGTTCATTGAAAGGACAAGTTAGTGCATATATTGTTTGATCAATTTTGCATGTTTATACCTGGCATCTTGAGCAACTACTTTGAATATAATAATATGCAATATTGTGACAAATGTTAATTTTCTATTATCTTGTTTTGAGGTTCTGTATCTTTTCATTGGTTTTTAATTTTCTTTAAAATAAAAATAAAAATATGGGTAATACTTTCTCATATCTTTTGATGTTGGTACAAAATCCAGATGCATCTTCATTGGACTTTTATTTTCGTCATGGTTCTACTGTCCCTATTTGAAAATTATATTTGGACTCAGTGTCAGGGAAGAGGGAAACAGTGAAGGTCAAGACAAATTTTAGAGATGGCAAGGCTCTTCAGGGAAATGGCATCCAATCTACATCCCAGGTGATGGCATGTTCTGGAAGGTGCTCTCACCCTGGGCTGGAAACAACAGGTGCACCTAGGACACCACTAGGAACAGGAGCACTCATTCCTGAAAGCAGGGCACAGCAGTGATGGGGATGGTCCAGGTGGGGTGCAGAGCTGGGTGAGGGGATGGAAGTGATTTAGCTTCCCAGGATGACAGTGAGCATGTGGCCACAGCCACATCTGAGACATCCATGTGTGAAGACAACTCATCTTTGCCTTCAAGAAGGCTGCATGTGTGGTGACGCTCTGCCGATTACGAGATGTTAGGGCAGAAAGCAAACTCCAGAGGCCTACAAGAAGATCTCACTCTTTGGCTTCCTGGTCTGCACCTACTGCACAGCCCTGGTCTGCGCTCAATGGATCCCCATCGCCTCCTACTGGTCGTGCACGACCCTGCAGGGAGGTTGTATCAAGTCCCTTCACTGTGCCTGCAGTAATACACAGCTGTGTCCAAGGTTCTCATGTTGTTCATTTGCAGATGCAGCGTGTTCTTGTTGTCTCCGAAGAGGGTGAATCGGCCCTTCACGGAGCCTGCATAGGCTGTATCATTACCATCACCTGATGTCTGAGTTCCACTCCAGCCTCTTCCCCCGAGCCTGGTGGATCCACTTAGGTAGTAGTCACTGAAGGTGAATCCAGAGGCTGTGCAGGAGAGTCTCAGGGACCCCCCAGGCTTCACTAAGCTCCCTCGGACTCCACCAGTTGCAAACACAGAGGCCTCCTGCTTAGGAAACTGTCCCACAGGGCCACTGTTTATCCAACTCATGCCACTCACATGCTCAGCAGCTCTTGTTTTGCATGAATTACCTTTTAAAACAGCAAGAAGGGAAAGCCAGCTCATTCGAAACTCCACGGTGTTTAGTCCTGTGTTCAGTCCTGATCACCAAGTGAGAGCTCTTGAGTGTCCAGGCCTTGGCTCCTCCCCGGAGCTATAGAGTGAAGGCTCAGGCGGATTTGAGGACATTTTGCACAGTCTCCTGCTATATAGAGAACTCTGGGGTTGAATAATTGAGAGAGGGCATCACATACAGCTGCTGAGTGTACTGTGGAAGTCCGGTAATAATGGTAAAAAGTAATTCCCCATTATGTGGTAAGAGTCTTGTTCTGTGTCTATTATCTTTCATTTTTGTTCATGTACTCAAATCATGGGCTTTAAAACTGATGTTGCTTTGTAATGATATAAAATAATGAAGCTTCATAAACTTTACCTACGTGGGATTAACATCTGTGCTCAGTCCTGATCCTATGAGCAGGCATAACTGGCATCCAGGGCTGGGCTCCTCTGCAGAGAGAGCTGCAGGGTCCTAGTGGGGCTGGCCCCTGATACACAGACTCCTGTACTGGGAAAATCTCATATAGGGAAGGTAGAATGCACATGAGTATTTGGAGAGGTATTTTGCAGCATTCATAATAATAATATGATTTTTCATTATGTGTTTGTGTTGCAAAAAACAGTTTTCTCATTGTTATATATGTGTGCAATTAGTGGTTTTTGTAATTTCCTGTGTTTTGCAGATGTGCACAGAGCAAGACACACAACAGACCTGGGAGCTACGAGCTCAGGTGTGCTAAAAACATGTATAAATCTTCCCATAGTACTGAAACTGCTCCATGAAAAATTCCGAGACACAGTGATCAAGCTTAGTGACATCTGCCAAACCTCGTCCTCAAATGAGAGAATATAACATGAGTTTTCTGCACTTCAGTAGTTTCATAAACATATATTCTTCCATTTATACATTCAAGAGACTGACATCTTGTTTCATTGTATACCTGATTTAATTTTTCCCATAATAATATATTTTATATATAATATTTAATTATGGGTAAAGGAGATACATTTTTATAGATATACAACTTGTCAAATATTGATATAATCATCCTCATGGTCAAGATAGCTAATGCAGCAGTACATATAAATTCTCATATAGTTTTCTATAAATTGTCCTTAGATCCTCTTGTATTCCAGTTGGCTAAGCTGAAACATTTATGGCTGCATGAGACAGTATTTCTTCATGATAACAAAACTGGGAGATAAATTCTTTTTTTTTTCTATCTTAAGCACAGATTTTATTTTATTTTTTTCCATAATTTTATTGAGAAACAAATAGCAATGAGACAGTTTCAAACCAAATTGGTAGGACAGTTTCAATAATTAACACACTGCATACATTCTTCCTAGTGGTTAATTGCTGTACAAGATGTGGACATGATATTCTATTTACAAACACTATTAGAACAAATCCCTCTATTCATTAAGAGAATGTAACTATATATCTATCCTAGCCACTTTGAATACACAGATACAAAATGGACATTCATCGGTATACCCCATTTTTTCTAAGATCCGTTATTGAATATTATAGGTGTGTAAACTCAGCAAAATATTCTGAAAGAGTCCAGTAGCCCATAATAGTATTGGGTCTTCCGCTTCACTGGCAATGTCAGAAATTGTTGACCTGAGTCCCCTACAGCTCAACATAACAGCATGGCTTTACTTCTTATATTTCATTTTTATACTTTTCTGCTGGATGGTTAAGACCCAGATAAAGCAGGACCTATACAACAAGAGTTGTAGCTTTTTGGTCTGAGAAGGTCAGTGAAATGCCCTCAGGATTTATCCTGAGATCCTGTACCTCAGATTGTAGATCCTTTGTCAGTGTCAGTCATCTGGATGGGTCACAGCCATTGTTTGGCCAATGTGCTCTCTGTGAAAGCTTGAGAGAATGTTTTCTCTCCATGTGATTCTCCTTAGGAACACTCTACATCATCAATCACTTTCCTCTTTGGACCCATAATCTCCTGGATCAGAAAATTTGGGACACTACCGAGTTACATGATGTTACAGTACACGTTCTCATATGTCCTGAGTCTTAAGTGACCTTGGAAGGCTAGGGCTAAAATGTTGGCTTTAACCCTCCAGAAGAGAAGCTTATTGGTATCACCATACAGCCTAGGCTGTTAAGCTTAACCTCACTATCTGTCTGAATATCAAACAGCTTAGGCATAACGTGGAACAGGAATTTTTCATCAAGTATTGATATGTTGAACTTTAAGTCCCTACAGAATATGATGAAAAAACATTTAAAAATTAGAATATATTTTTAAAAATAGGCATAAAGAATTATATACTTCTTATGTTTACACATAAGTCCAAAAATCTAACCATATACAACCTTGAAGCAGGACAGTCCCACAATATTCCTTTTCCTGTCTCTTGCCTTCATTCACCACCCCTTTCTTTTTGAACAATCATTTACCTGAGAGACAGCACAGCAGCAACTGGCATGTCATGACAAGCAGGATAAATTCTTGTTGATGGCAACGTATTCACTGATGTATTCATCCCTTTCATCTGCAATTCAGTGGAAGCAGAACCATGGATTTCATGATGATTGGATATTAAAAAGCAACTGGGTTTTGAAAATTCAGGCTTCTCCAGTGTATGCAATCCAGTCTGTATTTGGGGGAAAGTGTTCCTGATGGTCTTTCTAGAAGAAAATGCTGTTCAAATTTGCATTTTTCTGCTTAGTGTGGTGGCATAGTCCTGTAATCTCAGCACTCAGAAGGCTGAAGGAGGAAGATCACCATGAATTTAAGCCCAGCCTGTGCTACGTAGTGAGTTCAAGGCCACCTTGAACCATGCAGCAAGATGGTTACAAACAACTAACAACAAAAACAACAACAAAAAGTAGAAAATAAATTTGCAATTCTTTAATTGCTAATAATTCTGAAGAATTTTTCAGATACTGACTGGCCATTTATACTTCTCAGAAGTGTATTTATGTTGATTGTTTATTTTTTTCAATTGAGTCCTTTATCTTGGAGTGCTTAATTTTTTGTATTTTTTTTTTAATTTATTTATTTATTTTATTTATTGTGTGTGTGTGTGTGTGTGTGTGTGTGTGGCCAGCTCAGCCCGCCTGGGGGCGGGGCTGGCTGGCATGTGGTGCTGGGGGATTGAACCGTGGTCCATGTGCTTTGTTAAGCTTGTTCTAAGTAGGGGCTTTAGACCACTGAGCCATCTCACCAGCCCAATTTTTTGTATTCTTTACATATTTGATATTAGTCCTCTTTGTTGGCAACTTTTCCTCATTCTAGTTATTTCTTCACTCTGTGGTATATTCATCTTTGCAAGTTTCTAACTTTTATATCATCTCATTTATTGTGTCATCCCAACTTTCTACCAAAACCACCAGTAGCAGCCTTGACAAAACTAATTTTTTCACATTCCTGAATTCAGAATGTGGAATGCCTGGCTTATTTATTTCTCATTGTTTATGTTTTAGTCTATGATGCAGGCTTGCAACTGCTATATAAATATTCCCATGAAAAGAATATTTCCTGAGCAACAAATCATGATTTTCTGTAACAACATTTCTAGCCCCTTGTTGGTTTATTGTTTTAACTTAAACCTATTTTTTAAATAATATTTCAAATGTAAATATCAAGAGAACTCTTAGTTTTCTAAGGCAACTAGCCAAGTTCACCCCTACTTCAAAGCCATGATCGTCCTGTCACTGGAACTAAATGAATTCACCATCACATCCAACTTGGTCTTTTATAAGCTAAGTGAGGAAAGTCAAGACACTGACATGTAATGGTATATATTAAAATAATTGTGATACTGTGGAGTAAACCTAGGAATATTAAGAGCACTGAGCTACACTTCCAGCGCTTTCACATATATTTTGAGACAGGGTCTCACTGAGTTGCCCACACTGACCTCCAACTTGTTCTCCTCCTGACCTGATGGGATTACATGCCTGCATCACCAGGAACAATACTTTCGGCCAATGGTAAAATAATGGGAAAGTAAATGTGCTCAGGATAAAATGACTTGTATTTTGAGCATTGTATCACTGGCTGGAATAGTGACAGGAAGACACATTATATGTCTTCCTGCTAATGGGATGACACAGAAGGAAGCAGCAGGAAAGTCAGCCACATGTCCTAAGGTGTAAAAAAAAAAATGGCATTGTATTCTTCAGTGTTATGTGTTGCACGAATTACATCACATATTTCATATCTAAAGTAGACATAATTTTAGATATTATTCACTTGATGAATAATTTACATACCTAAGCATAAATAAACCTAGAGCAATCCATATGATGTTCACTGCATTATGGATATTTAATTCATTGCTCACTCATATTTCATCTTACCATAGGCTTATTACAATGTCACTTCATCAGAAAGTGAGAAGCTTCTACATCAAAGAACCCTGTACAAAACATTTTATAAAATATTTCACTCTTACAAAGGCAAGATACAGGTCAAGGAGACTAGGCTTATGGTCACTGCTTGGCTAAGTCTATGTATTTTAAAGCATTTGTCATGTACCTTACAGTTGTCCTTATAGATAATGAAAAATGGTATTATACAAATTTATCTCCAAAATTGGTAAAATAAAACATAAATCTGAAACATAAATTATTAATTTCCTTCTATTTCTTAAAGTGAATGTTTTTTTTCCTTCATGCCCTTATTTTATCTTCTTATGTAAAAGCAGTAATGATTACAAAAGTCAGTGTCAATCCCAGCTTCAGTGACTAGAATGAATTTAGCTCACAAGAATCACACATTCTCAAAACAACTCCCTTGTTGACCAAAAATTCCTTTGAAAATATCGTCACTGATAAGCTGTCCTATCATTCATACTTTTTGAAGAGATTTATTACAATGCAAGATATTCCTTTGGAGACAAGTCACAGTCCTGCTGCTCTGCAGCAATTACAAACGCACAGCAGTGGGGTTTATTTTTTGGTGCATAGGATGGAAATATTATCACAATATTAAAAATTCTCACAATACAAGCATAAAAATAAAATTCTGTTGGTAACAATGTATAAAATTTCACATAAATGGTAATACTGTATTGGCTTCAACATTAAAAGTAAAATAGGCAAGCTTATGTACCTGATATCATATACAATTAGGTTGGCACATATGCGGGCAGGATATGAAAAACAATGTTTGCTAATCTACAAGTTGGATGAAACCAGTGGAACTTTGTGAACAACACATCTTCACAAGTCTTTCAATATATATATCAAATTGAACAATGTTTTCTGTTACACAGTATATGGACCATATCCCCCCAAATTTACAACAATGCTAGTCCAAAATTCCAATAATGAAAAAGAAAAAACAAAAACAAACAAAAGACAACAAAAAATTCCAATAATGAACAAGATTAAAGTTTAATGGCCTACATGTCACAATTATAAAAAACAAAATAAAAGCTACATAAATACTCACCCTAGCTGGAAATGAAAAATAATTTTAATTTATCTTGTTTAATTAGCAGACACTATATGTTAAACTAAAGGTACAGGTTTATACAAAAATATATGATTATATAAACTCAATATTTCATAGTAAATACTACAGATACATAGTTCAGCTATTTACATCTACTGAAAAACACAGAATGAATACATTTTAGGATCTCTCCTGACATTTTCTGGAAAATTTATTAAGTACTGGCATCAAAATTTTCATATTATTTGTGTAGGTCTCCACTACTAGTCACTTTTACAGTAAAACCTTTTATAGTTTTAAAATATGTACATAGAATTTCTTCCTAGTGTGGCTTGTTTCATGTATCTGGCAATACCTTTGTATACTGAACACTTTCCTACCTTGCTTCAGCACACAGACTTTCTCCCCAGTGTGACCTCATTCATGTATTTTACATTAATTGTGTGTACAGAAAGATTTCCCACACTGCTTACATACATAGGCTACCTCTCCCCTGTGACTATTCTCATGTAGTTTATAACAACTGTGTTCAGTGAATGTTTTTCCACATTTGCTTACATTCATAGGATCTCTTACCAGTGTGGGTTCTTCTGTGTCTATGAAAGGAGGACTTAAGAGCAAATTTTTTTCCACATTGGTTACATGCAAAGGATTTTTCATTTATGTGGGTTCTTTCATGTATGTGATAATAGTTGTATGTAGTAAATGCTTTCCCACATTGCTTACATACATAAGGTTTCTCCCCTGTGTGACTTCTTTCATGCATTTTATAACATCTCAAAGTAGTGAATGCCTTCCCACACTGCTTACACAGATAGGGTTTCTCCCCATTGTGATTTCTTTCATGTCTTTGACAGTGACTGTGGGAGCTGAATGCTTTCCCACATTGCTTACATACACAGGGTTTCTTACCAGTGTGGGTTTGTCTATGTTTACAAAATGTGGACTTTGCAGCAAATCCTTTGCCACAATGCTTACAAACATAGCTTTTCTCACTTGGGTGCATTCTTTCATGCATTTGACAATAAATGTGTTTAGTAAATGCTTTCCCACATTGCTTACATACATAGGCTTTCTCCTTCATGTGACTTCTTTCATGTATCTGACAGTATCTCTGTGTAGTGAATGTTTCACCACATTGCTTACATATATAGGGCATCTCCCCAGTATGCCTTCTTTCATGTATTTTATACCAACTCTGAGTACTGAATGCTTTCCCACACTGCTTGCACATATAAGGTTTCTCCCCACTGTGATTTTTTTCATGTATTTGACAATAAGTGTGTCTAGTGAACGCTTTTCCACACTGTTTACATACATATGGTTTCTCGCCAGTGTGAGTTCTTTCATGTCTTTGACAGTGACTGTGTCTGCTGAATGCTTTTCCACACTGCTTACACACATAGGGTTTCTCACCAGTGTGAGTAATTTCATGCATTTGACAATTCTTATGTGTAGCAAATGCTTTTCCACATTGTTTACATATATAGGGTTTCTCACCAGTGTGATATCTTTCATGTACTTTATAAGAACTCCACGTACTATATGCTTTTCCACATTGCTTACATACGTATGGTTTCTCCCCAGTATGACGTCTTTCATGTGTCTTACAATAATGCTGTGTAGTGAATGCTTTTCCACATTGCTTACATGTGTAGGGTTTCCAACCACTGTGCTTTCTTTCATGTAATTTACAGTAACTGCGTGTAGAGAATGCTTTTCCACATTGCTTGCATATATAGGGTTTATCCCCCATGTGAATTCTTTCATGTATTTTGCAATAACCTTGTGTATTGAAGGTTTTACCACATTGCTTACATGCATAAGGTTTCTCCCCAGTGTGAATTCTTTCATGGACCTGGCAATGACTGGGCTTCATGAATGCCTTTCCACAATACTTACATACATATAGTTTCTCTGCAGTGTGAATTCTTTCATGTATTTGACAATATCTGCTTGTACTAAATGCTTTTCCACATTGCTTACATGCATAGGGTTTCTCCCCTGTATGACTTCTTTCATGTATTTTACAGTAACTCTGTGTAGTGAATGCTTTCCCACATTGCTGACATGCATAGGATTTCTCCCTAGGCTGCATTTTTTTATCCTTGTGCAAGCTATTACTATGAGTTAAAACTTTAACACGTTCCTTAGATACAGAGGGCATCTCTCTGGCATGTCTTCTTTCATGTACTTGAATATGGTATGAAGAAATAAAAGTTTTCCCACATTGTTTGCATACATATGGATTTCCTCCACTATGATTTCTTTCGTGGCTTTTAACACCACTGAGAGTGCTACAGACTTTCACACTTTTCTTACCTAAAGAGTTCTTCTCTCCAGTGTGAGTTATTTCACTAAGATCAGAGTCAGTTTTCCCATATTGCTCGTACGGATAAGGCTTCTTCCCAGTCTTCATCCTTGCAGGCTTTAGACAGCACTGGAGACCACTGCAGGTTAGCCTATGTTCATTACAGTTATTCAGCTTGTCATCAAATCCCACGTACTCCTCTGGCTTCCGTTCAGTGTGAGGTAAAATCGGTACATTTAGTGATAGAAGTCCAGTCAAGGCCCTTCTACAAGCAAGGCTTTCAGCTGGCCTTAAAGCAGCTTGCTTCATGCCCACATTAGCATCTGGGGTCCAGAGAAATACCTCTTCCTGTTGAATCCAAGATTCATATAGATCACATTTTGCTACCTCTTCATTTCTGCAAAGAAAAAGAACAACAATTTCAATTACAATAAAAAGGTCTTCATATTAATAATTTAGGAAGACAAGCTCTGGTTTGATGACTGATAAGAAAGTTTTGACCAACTGACTTAATGTCCTGCAGGATGCATCCAAAACACCCATCTCAGAAGAACGGTTTCCACTGGGAATTTGAAATTGGCGTATGTTTGCAATTCATGAGGTCTAGTTTCGCTTTAGGAGATTGGTACTGTGTGTATCCCATACTGATGATGTCTGACCCTTTCTCCATCACTCTCCTCTTTTCTCCTGACCCTTGTCATCTCTCATCCTTTTCACCTATAAGTCAGGCTTTCTATTTTCCATCACCTCTCCTTTATTTTACTCCTTAATTTGTATTTCTGGCTTATTATATAAGCAAAAACATGTGATAATTCACTTTCTCTGTTTGACTCATTCAACATTATAGGATGGAATCTCATCTTTGTTTCTGGCAAATGATACAGTATCATTCATTCTTCTTTATGACTAAATATATAGCATATCTTTTTTACTGCTGAGAATGAAACAAAAGTTATTAGCATTGGATACTTTCATTTTTTATTTTTTTTGATAATTCTCCTTAAACAGTGATTTACTCAGGTTGAATTTAAGCTGTCATCCTGCTGACCTGGCTTCTCACAGTGCTGGGATTAAAAGAATGAACCAAGTTGTATCTGTCATAGACATTCTTAATTCAAGCATCCAATGATATGCATCTAGGCTATTTCCAGTGATTAGATATTGTAAATTGCTTCTAGACAACAGATATTGTGAATACCCGTGCACAAACTGCTCTGAGCATGGGTATGCATGGATCACTAAAATATGATGATTTTTAACCCCTTTCAGAATACACCAAGGAAGGTATACCTGGATCAAATGGAAAGTTCTATTTTTACTTTTAGAGACATCTTCATATTGATTATTGTAATGGTTTATTTTACATTCCTATCAATAATATATGAGAATGCCTTCTTATATGAACGGACTCAGTTCTCTGGAGAATGCATTTAAAACATCTATTATTACAATACTATCATTCATTTGCATTTTGAATACTGCTTTCAGGATAGTAATTCATTAGCTAATGAATGTCTCTCACTCACATGTTTACCTAGATATCTAGAAGATGAGTTCCCGTCAAAATTAAAAATTTAAGGCCGGCCAAATAGCTCAACAGATTAAACCGCCTGCAAGCAGGCGCAGGGTTCAGGGGTTTGATCCCCAGACCTGCTGTGCTGGCCCCGCCCCAAGGGTAAGCTGAGATGGCAATTGAGACTGGGCGTGGTGGCACACAACTGTAATCCCAGCTCTTGGGAGGCTGTAAACAGGCGGATCACTATGAGTCCGATCTAGTAGTGAGATCCTGAACACCTTGTAGACCCTTCCTTAAAA